TGGGTACTTCATTAATACTTGGCCTTTGTCTAGTATTACTTGAAGAAGTGCAGAGACCCCAAAATAATTATTTAAAAATTCTTAGATGTTCAGTAAAAAACATATGGTTTGACTTCATCTCCTAAAAAGCATCTTACTGAGGCATCACTCAGCCAGTTGTAGGAGACTGAAGGGTATTCTTTTAATTGGTTAAACCTCTCTAAGTGCTTTATAATTGCTTTCACTAAGCAGCTGCTGTATTGGAGCAAATGCTACCTGGAACCCATTACATTTTAATAGGCTTAGCCAAAGTCCACCCAGAGACATGCAAAGCCTCCCCTTGATGCCCATCAATTTGCCTCAACATTGTTACCAGAGCTCAGTCGTGCCATTCCGTAACTCCTTCCTCCCGTCCACACCGGGAACTGATCTGACAGGCAGTCGGGGAGGTGTTGAGGGCTGCTCGGAGGGCTGGTGTCACCAAACTGTCCCCTTTCTAGAAGGTATTTTGGCCAAACAGTGCTTTCAGCCTGAGCCAAGGTCAGATATGCACTGATTTTTGAGCAGCTGTTTGGAAATGTGAGACTGAGACAAGGAAGATTTGTATTGCCTATGTCTGGATACAGAATGCAATGGTCTGGGCTGTGTATGCGAGGTTTTGCCTGCTGAACGCTGCTTATTCTGAAGGGTGCACGTGTGTGTTTAAGATTTATTTAGAGATGCTATCAAATGATTGGCATGTCAGGCTATGCAATCAGAGAAGCTGCACCCTTCTGTGAAGCATCACACAGCACCCAAGAGACTCAGCTTCCCAGCACTACAGTATAGACAAGGAATAATAACAAAAAATGGAGGTGGTTTATAACTGGGGAAATGGAAGGATTATTGGATGGAGGAGGGAGGGTATGAAATCTCTTGGTGGGAGGTATTTTTAGTGGCTGCACTGGTGCAGACATTGCCCTGTTATCCTCACAAAAGAGCTGGGAAGCTGCCAGTGCCTTGAGCTCTCTGAATTTGGATCCTCACACCTGGTGAACGCTGACAGCAAGGAGGGAATTACAATCAGAAATCACATGCTTAATGAATTAACGAGTTGACTCCCAGGCAGCAGGGCTGGCATGTTCCTTGATCCTGATCTCCCTAATTATTTTGTACATGACCAAAGTTGAACAGAGCCAAGGAAATACATAAATGCTACCAAAGAGGTGGAAAATAGTGTTGTGGATTCTCTGAATGAAGCCTGACTACTTTTAGCTCCTATTTCAATGTAAATAAATACATAATATCAGTAGATCTGGAGGAAGAAAGAAAGATGTTGGCTGCTCTGATCTCATTCAAGAGGTCTGCACACCATGAACTGCAAAAATTTCTTCTCTGAGCACTAGTTTTACAAGTTCTAAAGCATTTCACCTTTAAAACAAAATCAAGCTCTCTGTACTTCAGGCCAAAGTTCACTTTTGGAAAAGGAAAATACTTTGACCCCCATCAAGCTCTGATTTTATGCCAATAGTTTTATTAGTGTAGAGAAGGGTCATTTTTTTTTTTCTCATCTTCTTCCATAAATTAGCTTAGACTGTGAGGATGGTTTTGGCTGCCATGGATCCCAAGATAAATCCTTGCTTATTTTTTGGTATTTTTCAGACAGCTCAGAGGCCTGGTTTGTTAGAAAAAAAAAAAAAGAGAAAAAAAAGGTTGTGAGGAACAGGTGACAAAAGTAAATGTGAATCAAGCACCTTCAGTAATCAAGTGCAGCTGAAAAATGAAACGAAGCAGGATTTCACTCACACTTGCTAGATAAAAAAAGCCTTTCTGCATGATGTGGTGAATCACAGACAAAACTGACTGTGGATTTCTTATTTGCTGGATCTTTCTCAGTCCAGAAAAGGAGCAAGTGGCTGTTCTTTCCTTGCATTCCCAGCAGGGAAAGGAGCTCAGTCCTGCTGCTGGGCTGGTACTGCTGAGATGCATGTAATACCTGTGCATCACTGCCCACGGTGCCGTATCTGACCCACTTTTGCACCATTTCAGGCTCCAGACAGAAACCCTCACTTTTGCTAACTTTTCTCAGCTTTTGCAGTGCATAACAAAAGCAAAAGATTTGCCTGTGGGAGAAGATGAAAATTAAGCTTGTTGTTCCAAGAAGGAAGGGCTGGTTTTCAGCGCCTTGGAGGAAACGTAGACCTGTCCCGGAGGGGCGATCTTCCACAACTACCAAGGAATGCCCAGGGAACGGCAAGTGTAAATTTGGGTCTCTCTCATTATTCATGAAGAGCTCTCCCTTCTTTATGTTAAAAGAGTATACAATACTAAAAGGATAGAGAGAGGTGTGAGGTGTTGTAGAGCAAGTGAGAAGAGGCAGCTTCTCACTTAATGGCAGTAGGTAGAAGTGTTAAGAAACAGAAAAAGACAGCAGGGAACCAAGGGGCTTGCACAGCCACATCCTTGCAGGCTCAGTGCTGAAGCAAGGCTCGGTCCTTATCCCCCTATGGATGATGGTTAAGAAAGGTGCAGAGATGGTAAATAAACACAGCCTAACAAGATAATGATGAGGAATTTAGTGTCTTCTGGGTTTTTTCTCCCTTTTATCTCAGTAGGCATTTCCCAGCGTGGTGTTTGGAGCTGGGGTGCACGTGGTGGTTTGCCTCTGGCACCGGCACACCGCGCTGTGTGGGACGCTTCCCTGGTGAAAAAACAGCTGGAAAAATCTTGTGGAGGTTCTCGGTGCCTTCTCTACGGGTTTCTTTCCCTGTTGAAAATGTGGCCTTGACCAAAGCTCTTCAGCTGCCAAGAGCTTTGCCACGTCATCTTGCTGCTAACAAGTTCTCACCATATGATGTGCACGAGGACTCACAGTTTAAAAACAGTACCAGCATACTTCATTAGATTTTTTTGGGTACTATTTTTGAACAACTTTTGCTTTATCATCTGTCAGTTTAAGCTACCAGATTAATTAGCCTTTTCCTCAGTTTATTTAATTAAGCCATCCAGTATTTTGCAGTACAGCTCAATTTCTGGGTGCAGTATCTTTTATTTAACCTTTGTCTGAACCAAAGCTCTGCAGAAAAAGAAAAGGAATAAAGCAAGATATGCAAGGCTTAAGTTGCTGTTGACTAAATCATTAAAATGCTGGGCTGGTTTTGTTTTTTTCAGAGAGTCTCTGTGTGTGAGCAGGTCTGTTTTTTATCTTTACATATTGACAAGCAAAGGCAAAAGAAAATAATTACTTGTGCTTACCCTAAATGTGGTTGTTTGGAAGAATAAAAAAAGGATTGAATCTCTCTCTTCATCCATGGAGATCCCAGTTCTGTCTAGTTTCTGCATGAATTTATGAAGACCCACCTGAGCAGTTCATAAATGGCCACTTGTGCTCCCAGCTGTCAATGTGGTTTGAGACGTTGCATGTGCAAACATGAACCCTTTAATGCGTGTGAAATATAAATGAAGGTATTTTCCAGAACAGGGTTTGGGAATTTGTCTGAAATATGTTTGGATAGCCAGCCCTCAAAGAGCTGCAAAATTTAGTTAAAAATCATATAAGAAGCAGCATTTTAAAAAAAATTTCTGCTTCATACTACATTGGCTTGGGGCAAAAAATGTCTTTTTTTGGATATTGTAATTAGCTGGGTCAGAGTCTGGAAGCCACTAGATGCAATATCTGGTAGGAGAAGGTAAAGTGCAACTCACAGAAGGGTGCACACGTGTCCTTGGGAACTCTGCTGACTTTATAGTGAGACATTTGCCCCCCAGGAAAGGCAATAAATTGGAGTCACCTTACCCCAGCGCTGAACACTTTTGCTGGGAAGACATTTGTGCAAGACAAGAACAGGAAGATTCTCTCACAGCGATCCTCCTGCCACTGCCTCATGTCAGGTTTTCAAACGTGCAGTGAAGTTATTTCTGGGATTTTATATAACATCAGGTGTATGGGATTATGTGAGGAATGTTTTGCTATCAAATCAGTTTTAATGTTATCAGAGTTTTGAAGAGGAGAAACACTAGTAAGAGTCTGAATTAATCAAAAATCTTTTTTAAAAAATCTAATTTGGCCATTTTTTTTTTTTTCCTAAGAGAGAGAGGGAAATTGAAATCTGAATTAAAGCTGTAATTGATTGTGAGAAACTCTTTTCTCCTGTGTGCGTATCTTCAGGAGAAAACTGATTTTCCGCACACCTCTAATGAAGCAGAGAGCACCTTCAGAGTAGCTCCTGCTTTTACCTTGGGAGCAGGGGAAGGAAACCCCCAACACTGGGTTTCCAAAGTCTCTGCTTCTAACAGCTGAGAGAAATTTGCACATCTGATTTACCATGGGCAATGCCAGTGGGGCTGTGTACCCTGTGCTCTGTGTGTATTCTAGCTGATCTCTTCAAACCCAATCCCATGAAAAAAATTTGTTTTTAAAACTACATCAGTCCCCCGGTCACACTCAAATCCTAAAACCAGCACCAGCTAAAAGACAGGTGTTCAGGCTGGAGCTGGCCAGAACTAGAAAAAGAAGCAGGAAAGCTTGATGTTATCAAGTTGTTTCTGTTTTGCAGAACATGAAATATATTTAAATGTGATTTTTTTTCTCAACTTCTCCCCTATTGTGCACAGTTAATTAAGTAATACTTAAATCTCTCTATATCTTCCTTTCTCTATATGACTTTTTTTTTTTTTTAATCCTTTAAGGGAAGGTTAGGACTCAGAAAAGTGTCTCTGAGAGAAAAAGACAATAATGGAAAATAGAGGATAAAATTCCCTGTAAAACTGTTAGTGACTCATCAAGAAATAGATGAAGAAGGAAAGAAACTGAGAGAACAAACAGATTTATTTTCCAAAGTTTGGGGCTTTAAGACAAGAACTGAACAATTTTGGCAAATGTCAAAGTGTTTGAGGGCAATTTGCATTTCCCAAAAGAGCTAATTTAAATTTAAAATACGTTTTGGAGTGAAAGCGTTTACCAATTTCAACCTATTACTCTTCAAATCTTATTTACTTAGACACCACTATCCAGTTCCATGCCAAAATATGTGAATACTTACGCAGGACCCTGACGCCGTGCTTCAAGGCTTGCACGCGGCTGGGCTCCATGGACATGCTGAGCATCGTCTGCTGCCCGCCGATGGTGCAGACCTGGTTTTCCTGGGCAGCCTGCCTGAACATGACCATGAGCTGGTTGGCGATGATGGTGTTGAGCACAGAAATGACGACCATGGGGAACACGAAGGAGATGAAAGTGTTGACCTGCGGGGGAGAGATGTGGCATGGTCAGGGGATGAGGTGGATCAGTAGAGCAGGAAATTGTGTTTTATTTCTCAAAGCAACACAGAAACAGCCTGCAGTGGAAATCTTTTCCCTCCTTTTACACTGCTGGCTTTGGCTTTTGAAGGCTTATGGCTCAGAGGGGAAACTCAAACACCACTGACGTACATTCATTCATGTGGGTCAATACTCAAAAAAGGCAAATTCATTTGCATCTGGTTAAGTTGTCTTCCCCTTTTCAGTAGAGTTCATTGCCAGAAATGTCTCCACCGAAACATGCCATTGATCCTTTCATTTCGTGAACAGCAGGATGCTTCTTAGCTTTCATTGTACATAGCGTGACTTCTAAATAACAGTATGTTATTGTCTTTTTTCTTTATTACGAGCACTCCTTGGGATCTTTTTAACTTTATTTTTTGTGTTCTGTCCTTTCCTTGTAGATTTAATGACAGCATTTTGTTATCTCATAACCAAATTATGCAATAAACCTTGTTCCTTAAAGGATTAATATTGATCAGAATAAACAAGTGGAAGTTGTAATGGTTTTAGTACAAATTATTTGATTACTACAGTTTTGATAAAATTAAATGAAGGATCAAATTAAGCAGTGATTGAATCAAGTGGAAGTCACTGTTTGTGTCAAATAAATGCAGGAAGGCTTTGTGAGGGCCTTATGGGCTGTCTAGGAACCCTGCTGGAGCTGCTCTTAGCAAATGGCAGCCCAGGGAAACAGAGGCACGTGTAGGATTTGCCCGCATGTCTGTGGCAAGGCTGCCTGGTGGTGTGGCGAGCTGCCGGCGGGGCTGGGTGCCCACGAGGCTCATCCTCCCCGCTGAATGGCTTCAGGAGAAGGCTCAGCACATCAATTTTTAAAATTTCAGAATATTAACAAGAATTAAACTGTGTGCTGCAAATCACCGTGGACGCAATTTTATGAAAAGTGCTAAAATGACAAAAAGATAAAACTACTAAAACCAATAGGGAACTTTGCCCTGTGGTAGGGTTACAAGGTGTGCTAACTTCTCCCCCAGCGAGCCACATATCTTGCACCTCAGTGCCCTAAAACACAGAAGCAACCCTGCACTCCACGCCAAGCCCATGTCCCTCTGCAGACTGCAAAACCAGGGAAGCCTCATCGACAAACAGGTTCTCCATCTGCTCGGATGGAGACATCCCCTCTCCACCCACCCACCCACCCAGGACCATCACCTCAGTGTACAAGCATTTGCTGTACCCCCAGTGTCTAGTGCAGATGTGTGGTCTCTTTGCTCTGGAGGGATTCAGAAATGCCAGAGCTGAACGGAAAGATGGAGAAAGAATCCAACCCCACCCCCCAAGATGCTACAGGGGATTCATAAAAGAAAGAAATAAGAAGCACTTAAGCATAAGGGGAGCAGGTGCTCTGGCAATCAGAAGCACTTAAAGTTTCTTTGTTCATAAATCTGAGAAAGATGCAACTCCTCTGTCGGTGAAGACAGGCAGTGTTGTTGTTGCCAAAGTTTTCTTTAGATGGATCAAGTCTCTATACAGCTTTGCGCTCCGGAGCTCAATGTGTTTAGCAGAAGTACCAGCTGGGTTTTGTCTCTCGCAACCCACATGGTGAGAACATCTCTCGTTTATGCTGGTAATAATAATAGAGCTCTGCTGTGGACTGAGAAAAATCTTAGATATACCCCACCATTACAAGCTGTTAATGACCTCTTTTGTTAAATATATAGCAGTTTCCTAAGCTTCTAAAAGATCTCACAGCCTACTGCATATAAAGAAGAGTTATCTTTTGGAGTTGCCCTGAGACACTAAGAAAGATCATTAAGCAATAGGGACCAAGTTCTCAGCTGGTGCAAAACAACAGTTTCACTGAGAGAGTAATTTGTGCTTGTAAAGAACCTACTTCATTTATTTAACCTTCATGATGCAGCTGAGCTGAGTTGGCATACGCAGGGGTGAAATGACCTGCTCAGACTTACCAGGTCAGACTAAGAAATGAGCCCTGTAGTTCCCCACTCCTATTTCTATGGTTTTAGCTGCTGAATAATGTTTGCACATCAGCAAAAGGAAACACTTAACTCTGGAAATGCTTCATTCTGTCACCTGAGCTCCAGACTTTATTGGCTTTCATTCAAAACCACTGCCCTAGCTATAAATTAGTCTTGCCTAATAGAATTACGCAGAACTCAAAAAGTCTTTTCTGAGCTTTCTTAAAAGCCTTGATTCATTCCATGATTGTATTGTGAAGTCTTTAAAGAGCTTGGGAAATTGTCTAGAATAGCATTAACTTCCCCTTTTATGAATTGTTATGGTAAAAGTGCAAAAGTTGCATACTTTCTATGAAAGGCTACATTTAAAGGTTTTTTCCAAGTCTTGATTTGTACCAGAATTCTCATATAGTTAAACCAAACAAATAATTAAATAAATAAAATCAGTCTTTTCCCCAGAAGCACAAGGTTTTAATTTGTGGAAAGAATTATTTGCAAACACAAATTCCTGAAGATCATCAAGGCTAGGAAAGGTAATCCCCGCTCCTGCAAACCCTCTATTCAATGTTTTTTCTGGCAAGCTGCTTGCTGGGTTGTGTGAGTCTGGACCCCAGCTCACTGTGCACGGCAGTGCAGTAACACTTCATTTCCAGGTGACTTTGCACGCTGCTGGAGCTGATGCCTCAAACACCTCTTCAAAGCCAGTGGAAAGTTTCACCCCTGCTTCAAGAGGAGCTGGTCTGAGCTCCCAAGACTACATACTGAAAGGTCTTCAGGAGCATGAAGACTTGTAGAGGTGTTTAATGGGATTTTTTACAGCACTGAAACTCCTAACATCAGTGGGCCTAAAGTGGCTACTGGGTGTCAGTGAACACCTATGGGAGTCTTTAGGTCCTTATATATCTTTTTATATATCTTTACAGATCACTCTGGTCCTGGGAAGGAGCATGTAGACAGTGCCCAGGCTCATTTTTGACATGAAAGTCTTGGGCTTTATGTTGGCTCAATATGGAAAGGACAACTTGTGCGATACTGGATCTAAACTAATTCTGTATTCAGACATGTTTGGATGCACAAGCAGAGCGGTCTGGCCTCATCTCTGCTATCACCAAGCATGGTTCAGTCTGATTCTCCTCTCCATTAAAACTGATGTGTTTGTATCAGTGTAAACCCACCAGATCCGAGGTTTCTGCTCTGCACCATGATGGACAGTGACATGCAGCATGAGCACAATGCAGAAGCACAAAGCTGTGCATGAAAAGGCTTAGCACTGGCTGCTCTTTAGTGTAAAAAGACCCAACACCACAGACCCTGTGACTGTGTGCTAAACCCTCATGAAAAAAAAAAAAAAATAAAGAAGAAAATCCAATACTACAATGTTTGTCACCGGCAGGAGGGAATGAAACACTAACCCACTTCCATGCTGCTGTTGCTCCTGTAATCAGTGCAGTCCTAAAAGCTGTTCAAACACCAGACTGGCAGCATCTGTGGGATGGGAATAGTCCTCAGGACCAAACCGTGTTTTGTCTCTTACAGAACAACAACCTTCCCTTCCAGCACCGCCCGAGCAGGAACAATCAGAGACCTGAGTCACTCCTCTGGCTGCGCTGTGCAGGATGGTGATGACCTGGATGCCATCCGAGGGAGAGCTCCCAGCAGAAATCTGTGCCTGGACCCTATCCCTGTGAAGGCATGCCTGGGATATCTGGTCACTCCACGGATGCAAAGTCATGGCAGAGACACCCACTGCGACTCACTCAGTCCTCAGAGGTACCACACCTTCACAGTCCCCCAAGGTGGTGACACTGACCCTCCCAGTCCCATCTCGGTGGTTGTGGGGGTCCTGCCCTTCCCAGGCACTGACCCTCTCTGGCTCTCTAACGATTTTTCACTTTTCATCCCAGCTTTCTCTTAGCCCTCTATTGCTGAAGGTGATTTTAATTCCAGCCAAAACATGAAGCATTAAAGTACACAGGATTTTGCAGAACGCAGAAGACAGAGCAAATCTGAGGATGGGGCTTCATAAGCTCATGAGAAGACATATGGAAATTTATGGAAATTAAGTCACACTTCTGGAAGGGAAAAAAAGCAGCTATCAGCCTCTCTCAGTCAGATCAACAAAAATCAGACTTTGCGTGAGACTAGAGAATTCAGCATGATGTGAGTTTTCTTCTTCCAAACAGGAGCGTGGGAGAGACATGGGGGAAGGGACCAGAAAAATCAAGTGACACAAACGCAGAAGCCAGTTCTTGGGTTTGCGACTCTTCCTAAATCTTTTGTATGGAAAACTGCTCCCCTGGCTCTGCTAATCTTTGTGCTGATGTGATTTGCTTTTGCCAGGTCATCCCTCAAATTATTTGGCTGCTGTGGTTTCCCTGGGTTACCACTAAAAGCAGACATCAGCTCGCTCACAACGGTGATGGAGAAGATGAGCATATAACTTCACCTAGGGTCTCCCCAGAGGGCCTAAATGCATCCTGTAAATCAGAAGCTTTGAGAAGGTTTATTCTTTTGTGCTCCAAAGTGTCTTCTGGAGGAACAGACTCAAAGGCCACTTTGAAAGATGTTTTCTCCATCCCTCCTATAAGCTCAGACTTTTATCTTACATGTATCTGGAGGGGAGGTGGGAAAATATTACATCTGTTACAGGCATTTACAGGTCACCTTTGCTGCCAGCAAAACTCAGTCGTCTGAGCCACCTACAGCTGACTGTGCCCGTGGTCCATCAGCACTTGGCTTTGAAGGGGTACAGAACTGCTAATGAGTGTTTGTAGATGCTTTACAAGTCTTGGAGCAGTTAAGCAGTTAAAAGTTAAAAAAATAGGCTAAAGGCTCTTCCTAGAGATACAGTAGGAAGTTAAACACCACCACTGGAAGAATTCATAATTAAAAAAGCCAAGAACTAGAACTACTCATAATACTTTAACTGAAAGAGTTTTGATGAGAAAATGTTCCTTTACTGAGATCGTAAAAGATTTTCAAACATGTGTCTTGTGGCATTCCTCA